CCACCCCCTCCCTGCCAGTCATCTCCCTGCCTCTCCGCTCCCCCCTCACCCCGCTGTCCTATGGGGAAGGGGGTGGAGGAGAGACCCTGGGGAGCAGCAGGAGGGGGCGAGCGGGGGGCGGAGTGTGGGCGGAGTCTCCGGCTGCAGAGGCGGGGCAGGGAGCTAGTCCCCGCTTCCCCCCACCCAGGGAAGCTTCATCCCCCGCCCATGCTTTCCCTGTCTGTAGAAATTCCCTCCAGTTCGTCCCCTTTTCTCTCCTTGTCACGTATCGCCCAGCGTGGCAGAATCTCGGGGTCTGTCTGCAGGGAAAGAACCTGGGGAATCGTGATGTGAACGTACTTAAAGCCTGTTCTCCCACCTCCACAACTGCCCTTCTCGCCCTGCCAGGCTGCAGAACGACGCCCACGTTTCGCTCCAGCCCTTGGCACAGGGCAGAGAAATGGCTGCAGCGGAGCCAGTTCAGGTAGGGGTTATTGGGGGTGGCTGGTGGGTTGCTGCAGGAGGGAGGGGGCAGCAATACACAGGGGGGTGGGAAGGTTTGGGTCTGGTTTGGAGGTGGGAGCGGGGCAGGAAATTCCCAGGGTGGAGAAAGGGAGGAGGCCAGGGTGTGGCAAACCTGCTGGGACTTGTTTAATAAGTGCCCTGGATTTTAGGATCAGAGCCATGCGGTTCGGAGGGGAAATGCCCTAATTTGTGGGAGAGGAAACAACCCACCTAGGTGAGGTTAGGAAACACTGACCAGGCTCCCAGTGCTGGAGCCTGACCCGACTGACCAACGGCAGCTGCGAAATATGAAAGCGGCAGCTTAGGGGCCCTGCCCCTCCCTTCATATCCAGCTCCTCGCAATGAGGAGGGTGTTGGTATCTACCAGGGAATTGTCCCTGGACCCTGCCAGGGCTCCATCTCCTGTATCAGCCCCTGGCTAGTAGGTGTGTGAAGGATCTGTTGGGAGAGACCAGGGGCTCTCTCTTTGTCCCCTCACCTGGATGTTTCCTGGATGCTCTGGTACTAGATAGATTCATGGAGGGCAGGTCCATCGATGGCTATTAGCCGGGATGGGCAGGGATGGTGTCCCTAGTCTCTGTTTGCCAGAAACTGGGAATAGGCGACGGGTGAATCACTTGATGATTCCCTGTTCTGTTCATTCCCTCTGAGGCGTCTGGCACTGGCCACTGTCGGCAGACAGGATACTGGGCTAGATGGACCTTTGGTATGACTCAGGCTGGCCGTTCTTATGAGTGGTTTGGGGGTTGGCCTCTGACTGCGAGCCCCTCAGAGCTTCCATTTGATTGGCTCCTTTCCCCCATGAATAGTGGAGTTGTGGCTGGGGCAGCAGGCACTGAGTGGGGGGCACCTGTTGTTTCAGGGGCCGGTGAGCTTCGAGGAGGTGGCTGTGTATTTCACCGCGGGGCAGGGGGCTCTGCTAGACCCCTCTCAGAGAGCCCTCTACAGAGACGTCATGCAGGAGAACTATGAGAACGTGACCTTGCTGGGTAAGGGTTCCTGTCCCCTCGGTTCTTAGGAGGGGAAATGCAGAGTTAAGGCTTATGGCATCCCCACAATGCAACCTCTACTCTGCCCTGTTTCAGCAACACCCCAACAAGCCAGTGACACACACCCTAGCGCTCTGCCCTCCCCTGCTACAGGACGCTCTGGGAACAGCGCACAGGGGCAGCACAGCATGAAGTCTGACATCTTCTCTTTGCTAGGGCAAAACTTGGATTTAGGTTCAATGTGACAAACAGAAACTTCCGACCCCTGGCCGGCACTCACCCACTGATCCCACTCCACACAAACCAGCTCGGACCTGCAAAGTGAGATCACCGCTTTCCCCTCGCCCCGAGGATTCCTCCTGAGTCACAGACTTCGCTCAGCTCTCACTGAGCCCTGAGGATCACTAGCACATATGTCACCAGGATGCTGACAATCTCGGTGACAAGACCTCACCCTTGTGAACCTTCACAGACCCAGCCTCCAGCCCTTAGCACGGGCATGAGGCAGACTAGGCCTCCAAGTTTTACATGCACCTCTCTTCATATCACAGTCACATCTCTGCCAAGCTGCTCCCAGTCATCCACAGCTGACACACATGCAGGAAAATGCTGGTATTCCGATCCGTGGAACACAACACAAACGGTGGCATGTTCTTCTTAGTCGTTTTTCATAGCTGTATGTCTACCCTAGAGCTTTTCCCAGCATAGCTGTGTTGGTCAGCGGTGTGATTTTTCACACCCCCATCACACAGAGCTAGGCTAGCAAAAAGCCTGGGCAAGACTGGGCAAGAAAGTGGTTTTTTTAGTTCAGAGAACTTTAAACTATTAATCTTAACACAAACATTTTGGTATAAAAGGGCAAAGCTTCCAAGAGGAACTTCTGCCAAATGCAAGAAAAATGTACAACACACGTAGTGTGAAAGCTATCGGAGCTCGGGCTCAGGCTCCAGTTCATGGGTGTCGTTCAGGTTCAGTGGCCACAGCCCATCCCCTTGAGCAAACCTTTCCCTGGGCCAGCAGATTGCTGGCAACCCTCGCGCAGTTCATAGGGACGTAGTCTGGCAGCACGTGTGCATTTCCATGTCAGCGACTGCTCAGTTTGGCTTGTGCTGCTCTGAGATTCCAGATTCCGCAGCTATTGGCTTTCAGAGCTGGTTTCCTGCAGAAGACAGGGGTGTCCTGTATTAACAGAGCTCAACGCCAAGTGACTGTGATCAGTCCAGGGACAATTAGAACCACAGTTTCAGCCCCAGCTGTGTGCAAAAAACATTTCAAGACCAAGATGATTTTGTCAAAAGCTACCTAGGGTGGTGGGGTTGAATCTCAGGAACATCTTTAACCAGTCACCCCATACTGGGACCAGTAACCCGTCCATGAATGACTATAGAAACCAGCACATTTCAAGACCATCTGAATGCACCTGTGGAATTTAGGGTAGTTAGAATAGTTGGTTTTTATGCAGAAAATGATGCTTCTGTGGACTAGCTGTTGCCTCTGGGGGAGGTGGATGACCTACCCCAACAGCAGAACCTTCCCGTTGCTGAGTATCTACACTGACCCACTACAGCAGTCCAGTCATGGTGTCTCAAGTGTAGACAAGCCCTGAGATACGACATTCGGTGACGCCCCCCGTCCCTCCTATTCCTCACTGCGCTGAATCCCACCAGCCCGTGCTCAACGGTCCCAGCTCTCCTACAACTCCCCCATTCTCTCGGGGTTTCTCTCTGGGATGAAGAAGCAGGTCCAGGGTAACTTCCCCTCTGGCTGGGGCCTTAACTTCCTGGAACGTGGAGTTTCTGTCTCTGTGTTTTAGGAGCCCTTTTGCTGAGCAGTGTCTGGCTGTGTGTGTTCCCAGCAGAGATGGGGAGAGTTAAATCCCTCATACGCAGAGTCTCCTGCACCTGGGGAGCTGCCCCCAGCCTTTCCCTGCTGTAAAATGGGCTGGGGTTAAAGTAATCGAAACGTCCCATGAATTCCCTGATCTCCCTTGTTTTCTTTCCCCTGAGCAGGGTGTCCAGTTTCCAAACCTGATGTGATCTCCCAGCTGGAACGAGGGGAGGAGCCGTGGGTTCCGGATCTCCAGGGCTGTGAAGAAGGAGAGATCCCCAGAGGTGCCTGCGCAGGTGAGGGATCATTAAACCAACTCAAAGCTCTCAGTGCCCGAAGGAAACAGCTGGGAGTCCCTAAAAGCCTTGTGAGCTCTCGGGGTTCAGGAGTATCCCCAGGAGGCCGTGTATCCTCAGGGCAGCTGTCGCTCATGGCTTCCTGCGCATCCTGACTGACACCTGGCAGAGCTCCCTCCCTGAGGGGATGTGGAGGCAGAATTGTTCCCCTCCTCTCTCCCCTATGGGGAAGAGTTGTGGAGAATCCAGCTACTAGGTTTCTTTTCTGTCTCTCCAGCTCTAATTTTGGTTTGTTTTCCCCTTTCCATCCCTGTGTCTGAGGTTTCTCTCTCTGTCCCAGCAGGTGCTGGGATGGTGAGTGAGGAGAAGAAGCAGAATCCTCAGCAGGAAGATTCTGAGCAAGTGGCACCACATGGGGGATTATCGCACGGCTCCAGAGGGAATGTGTCCCGGCATCGTGTGCAGGGCAAAGCCTGTGAGAGTCAGCACAGGCCGAGAGGGAGCAGAGAAACCAGTCAGCGGAGAAAGTGGGTAACTCCATTAATTGTCAGGGAACTCACCAGGACCTCCTGGAAACCACAGCCCAGCCGAGAATACCCACAGGAGAGAGAAAAAACACATGCACTGAGTGTGGAAAACATTTCACTAACCACTCAGCCCTTTTAAAACATCAGAGAATCCACACAGGAGAGAGACCCCATGAATGCAGTGAGTGCGAGAAAACCTTCACTGTCAACTCAGACCTTACTGGACATCAGAATATCCACAAGGGAAAGATACCCCATCAGTGCTCTGAGTGTGGAAAAACGTTCACACAGAGTTCAGCTCTTATTACATATCAGAGGATCCACACTGGAGTGAGACCCTATGAGTGCCATGAATGCGGGGAAAAAGTCAGTGTCAAGACAGCCCTCAATACACATCAGAGGATCCACATGGGAGAGCACCCCTATGAGTGCTGTGAGTGTGGGAAACTGTTCTGTCAGAAATCAACCCTAATTACACATCAGGCAAGGCATACAGGAGAGAGACCCTATCAGTGCTGTGAGTGCGGGAAGGGCTTCAGTGTGAGTTCGGACCTCATTGTACATCAGAGAATTCACATGGGAGAGAGACCTTATAGATGCTGTGAGTGCGGGAAAAGTTTCACCCGGGGCCCACCCCTTACAAGACATCAGGGTGTTCACAGGACAGCGATGCAGCGTAGAAACATTGTGTAGGGCAGAGAAAAGACTTTTTTTTTTAAAACACATTTGCTAATTCCCACATAGTGACCTTGTGGTTTGTTTGCACCATTTGTGTCCCTCTGTTCTCTCAGACCCCTCGTGTGTTCCCCACTTGTGCCTTTTACAGGTCGCCCTTCTCTGGGGTGAGTCCCATGCTCCTTTCCCCCAACTCCTTTCTCCTGTGAGTCATGGGAGTGTGTGTCCTTCCAGCAAGGAGTTTCCATCAGCCCCAGGTGGGGGAAGTTGGGGTGACCACAGGTCGCCTCACTGAGTGAAAATGGACATGGGGTTTGTCTTCTGCTCTAGGATTTCCCTGGGCGTCGGCGTGCTGGAGGTAGCTATCCTGATGTAAACACAACGCTCTGTTTGCAGTGCTGACATAGCCCGGGCACAGGGGTTGGGGTTAACTGGCATCTTCCCCTTTGGCCTGTCCTAATGGACACCCATTTTCCTGGTCTGGACAATCCCTGAGCATCACGTTTATATTGTCACCCCAGTAGCAGAGCGATTGTTAGTCACCAAGTCCCCCCTTTGCTGACAAAATGTCTCCTTCCCAGTTGTGCTCACGCTGGTCCAGGTTCTGGTGCTGGGCAGCAGGTATTTAGTTTTTTACCATTTTCCTTATTTAAAATACATTTCCATGTAACAAGGAGGAGCAGGAGTGGGACAGATGGATCATTTCAGCCTCTGCGAGGCCAGAAGGCAATGGGGCGAGTCGGAGGGATCCCTCCTTCCCCATCACCGTCACTATATCTGCTAACTCCAGCAGCACTGGCCTGTGTCTGAGGCACAGTGGAGTTTATCCTCCTGTATTTTGCCCCCCTCCCGCCCCCCCCACTCCCAGAGAGTCTCTGCACTTAGGATCAATTTGATCCTGTATCCAACTCATTAGAGCTGGAGATGAGTGTCCCAGGCCTGGGTGGGGAATTCCAGTGGTGCAGGCGGGTGCTCCGGCCGGGAGAGAGGCCTCTTCCCAGCTGTCTCTCCCCGCAGCAGCACCTAGGCTTGCGGGGGGCGCCTCCCTTCCCCCCCGTATCAGCTGCAGGGCTCGGCCCACAGGATAGGCGCCTCTCCCCGGCAAGGCCAGCGCTGGGTTCAGGTCTGGGCAAGGGCAGCTCAGCCTCAGCTGGGTTCGCGCAGGTTGGAGGCCGGGATAGATTGGGGCTCAGGGAAGGGTGACTCTCCCCTGGCCAGGGCAGGCCCCCGGGTGGGTTGTCTGAGGGCCCATGCGGCGCTAAGGAGGCTGTTGGGTGGCTGCGCGGCTGTGCAGCTTACAGGGAACTCGGGCTACTTGCCCTGTACTGTAGGTGTAAGTGCTGTTATTGGGAGGAAGAAAAATCTGTTGTTGTTTTTTCACATATATTGGAAGTTGAAAACTTGGTTTACAAGCACGGCCTTAATCACGGAGACGTTCCCGACACCCACACACTCCTCCTTGCGTCTGCTTTGTACAGTTAGACTTGAAGCTCCTTCCCCTAGGAGCTGCCTCTCACGATGTGTGTGTCTAATACGACACTGAGTGCAATAGAGCCTCAGTCTTGGGTGCAGCCTCTCAGGGCCGTCCTTACCCATACGCAAAGTGCGCAGCTGTGTGGGGCACCAGCCCCTGCTCCGCCCCCACTCCCCTGAGGACTCCAGAAGCGGTCGGGCCTGCCCTCACACATAAGTAGAGCGACCCGGCCCCAGCCTGCTCCGCTCCCCGACTCCCAGCCGCACCGCCGGCGAGTGCTGGGGGGGGGGGGCGGTTCCCCCGTCCCCCAAGCTTGGGAGCCAGGGGAGCAGAGCAGGCTGGGGCCGGGTCACTCCACTTCCCACAGAAAGTGGCCAGCCCCTGTTCCCCATGGAGGCCTGGGGTGGGGCCCCACATAGCCCCCCTGTAGGGCACCAAAATAGCTCGGGACGGCCCTGCAGCCTCCGGCTGCTACTGTGTTAACAAGAATCCTGCTAGCAACAGGAACAATGACTGTTCAGTCAGAGCAGACACTCCGCGAGCAGGAAACCCAAAGCGCTCAGGCTGAAGGGATACAGTGTGGGTTGAGTGGGGCAGAGAGAGCCGGGCTTTAGGGCTCCTTATCTCTCTGTGGCCTCTGTTGACATCCCTGGCTCACTTGCCTGTGCCCAACCTTGTCATCACAGCAGTCAGGAGACGCTGCCCCTCCCCCCATCATTCTTCTTGGGGGTCATTCCTGCCCCTTTCGAGCTCAGGGAGTGTTCACATGACACTCCTAGGCCAGGTCTCGTCTCTGGCTCTGATGCAGGGAGCTCACAGTGCTCAGCCTCAGCTGTCTGGCTCTGAAGAGCAAACCCGGCCGTCTCCCAGCCCTTCCCCCACTCCTGACCGGATCTCACAGCTCTGCAGGCATCAGGCAGCAACTTCATTCCCTGTCTCAGCCTCTGCCTCTCGGCGTGAGAATCTAGCTCGCACGCTCAGTGTTTCTGCTGAGAGAGATCGAGAATTGCCATTGTTCAAACAATCTCATGACACAGGGTTAGACAAAGGTTGAAGTGAAATACAATTTTAAAAAGGCTCTTCAGGCAAATGATCGTTTGTCTCGTGAAGTCCTCAATAAATCTGAGCTACATCCTGTCAAACTAAGCTAATATCAAAGTATGTGACCAAACAGCCTTCACCAGGAGAGAAAACCCCCAATTCAGGATGGGCAATAAAACACTTGCACATTCAAAAATTGAAATCTCAGAAAATCTTTTAAGACTCAAAATCAGGGAAATAAATTTACCCATTTTCTTATGAAGTAGCTAAACCTGCTTCACTATTCATCTCATTATTTGGCTGTATTAGTTACAAAAGTTTTAGCATCACTATACTAAAAGAGAGAGAGAGAGAGGGAAAAAAAATAACCCAAACGACACATCTACAAATGATCTGAACTAGCCTAGAAAAAGCCCAGAAGCAATTTTCTCAATAGCTGGAACCAGGGCTATAAGATTGGACAGGTCACTCTGTGCTTTGAGGCTCAGTGGGAATTTCCTGCCCACTCCCACGTCTGACACTTTCTTTTCCAACCCTCAGGAGACTGACTTAGGATCATAGAAGATCAGGGTTGGAAGGGACCTCAGGAGGTATCTAGTCCAACCCCCTGCTCAAAGCAGGACCAACCCCAACGAAATCATCCCAGCCAGGGCTTTGTCAAGCCTGACCTTAAAAACCTCTAAGGAAGGAGATTCCACCACCTCCCTAGGGAACCCATTCCAATGCTTCACCACCCTCCTAGTGAAATAGTGTTTCCTAATATCCAACCTAGACCTCCCCCACTGCAACTTGAGACCATTACTCCTTGTTCTGTCATCTGCCACCACTGAGAACAGCCAAGCTCCATCCTCTTTGCAACCCCCCTTCAGGTAGTTGAAGGCTGCTATCCAATCCCCCCTCACTCTTCTCTTCTGCAGACTAAATAAGCCCAGTTCCCTCAGCCTCTTCTCATAGGTCATGTGCTCCAGCCCCCCCCCCCCCCCAACATTTTTGTTTCCTTCCCCTGGACTCTCCAATTTTTCCATATACATTCTGTAGTGTGGGGCCCAAAACTGGATGCAATACTCCAAGTGTGGCCTCACCAGTGCTGAATAGAGGGGAATAATCACTCCCTGAATCTGCTGGCAGTGCGCCTACTAATGCAGCCCAATATGCCATTAGCCTTCATGGCAACAAGGGCACACTGCTGACTCATATCCAGCTTCTCATCCACTGTAACCCCTAGGTCAGGGGTCGGCAACCTTTCAGGAGTGGTGTGCCGAGTCTTCATTTATTCACTCTAATTTAAGGTTTCGCGTGCCAGTCATACATTTTAACGTTTTTAGAAGGTCTCTTTCTATAAGTTTATAATATATAACTAAACTATTGTTGTATGTAAAGTAAATAAGGTTTTTAAAATGTTTAAGATGCTTCATTTAAAATAAATCGCAGAGCTCCCCGGACCGGTGGCCAGGACCCGGGCAGTGTGAGTGCCACTGAAAATCATCTCTTTTGGCCCAGTCCTTCTTGAGAGTGGGAAGGGGCTTGGACACCAGCTTAAAGCCACATCTGCCCAGGGCAGCACAGCACAGTGTGCAACGCAGGGGTCACATTTCAGTTATTTACACGTTGTGAAACTTAACCCTGAGGTTCTCAGCCCTGGGAATGAGACTGTGGAATTCCCCAGCCCATGGGAAAGATCATGAGTGAAAATATCCCCCAGGGTTGTTATATCCCTGAGGGACCATCTGTCTCTGAGTGCTGGGGATAGAATCAGGACCTTTCACTGCCAGGCCTCTGCTTACGACCAGGACCAGGTCAGCCGTGATCAAGTATAAACAGTGAGTGACAATGAGCCTTAGCCCACCTACTGTTGTTAATGGGCAAGGCGGTAAGACCTCAGTGTACAACAGTGGCCTAATTTTGGGTACCTCCATTTATCTCTTTGAACTACAGGGCTGCAGGGACCTTGTTCCAACTGCATCTGGAGTCCGTGGGCAGTGCAGGGGTCCAGCCCCTCAGAGAACCAGCCCCTACGCACTTCAAGGCAGTATCCCAGGTTTTGCCCCTACATCAAGAGACATTCCTGAAGTCTGGACCCAGCCCACCACTGTGCTCTGGCTCCCATGCTGGCTAGCGTGGGCCAAAGGGGCTGTAGGGAAGGTGTAAAGCCCTCCCCCACCCTGGGAAATTCCTCCAACAGAGGTGCCACTTGTGCCTCCCCCCAGCAGCTGCAGGCCCAAGGAGTGTTCTGGGGGAGGGGGAGGCATGGACAGGCTGGAGGAGGAGGGGGTGGAGCAGGGGTAGAGGGGTGTGGCCAGGATGAAGCTGCACCTCAGTCTTATACCCTGGCAAAGCCCCTAACACAAT